CTTATTTGAAGATATTGCCAAATCTCTTCTTCTTCGCTTTTGCCCGTAAGTTCATAGATGCAACAAAATGTAGAAATAGTTGATCATCTTGAGTTGAACATGGATGTGCTTGTAAGATTATCAGAGTAGTTGATTTTAATTGCCAACTTTTCTTAGGTGGAAGACATCATTGGATCTCGCAAAGGCTCTTTGTGATGTACAATATAAAAAGTTCAAGTCCAAAAGAAAGAGAGCATATATTTCAGCTTATGGAGACTTTCCGAATGCAGAAGAATTAGCAAGTTTTAGTGAGAAAGAGCTAAAAGGTATAGGCAACTTTGGATATAGAGCAAGGGACTTGGTTATGTTGGCAAAACAAATTGTTGATGGGGAAATTAAGCTCAGTAAGTTTGAAAAAGACCACATTGGTGCCGAACCAAGTTGGTCTAAGCTGAAAATAAATGGTGCTGGTCCATTTACCATCAACACTATCATGATGTGTGCCGGACATTATAATTATATTCCAGTTGACAGTGAAACGATGCGTCATATGAATGAGGTAAATGAAATTTATAACTGGATCTGCATGTTTCAATTTACTTGTCTCTTTTGATTTGTTAACTTATTGCATATTCTACTTTCAATCTAAACGAGCTTTAAATGGTTTGTCAATAAAAATTAATTGGGCCAAAAGAATTTATTTAGTTTCATCTTATTAATTAGCCCATATTTTTATTTTGTTAGTCATTATTTTCCGAGTCTGATGCATGAGCTTCATTTCAGTTTCATGGACTTAAAGTGCACACGAGAAAAAGAGGATTCATCAATCTCCAGGTAAGGGACAAAATACAACAAATCTACAAACGTTATGAATACTGCTCTCCCATTTTTTATAATAGGGCAAATCAAAGATATTCTAATATACTTGTTTTATTCTGTTTATCTTGACTATATATTTAGGTTTCAACTTGTCAACTGTTGTGAAAGAGAACTTGGGAAGGTATTAAGCGAGTTATTACCATCAGAATATCATCGTGTCACTAGCAACTATGAAAAGGAGAAGAAGAAATTTTGAGGTAACATTGTGAAGTTAACATATGTATTTCTCTATATCTAATTATTTATCTTTATTTTATTTTTATCTCTAGCACTGATTGTTTTTTGTTGGTGTTCTTTTCTAGCTAGGATGGAGGGTGCATTAAACTATGAAAAGAAGGGGAAGAAGAAGATATCGAACAGAGTCATGAGGAAAAAGGGGAGGAAGAATCAGAGAAGGATAAAAAAGGTTGATAGAAGAAAATATTTACATATGTTCATTCTTGTTTCTCTCTATATCACTACTAGAAATTTGGTAAAAACCGACCAAAAAAACCGACCAACGTTGGTCGGTAATTACAAAAAATCGACCAAAACGCGACCATTTACGTGTGGACGGTATTTTTGTGGTCGGAAAGGAAT